AGCCCGGCTGTCAAGGGGTGTAGGGCCCACGAGGAGCCAGACAGAGTGCATCTGGCCACTGAAACTGGGCCACCTTGCCCACTTGTGTGTGGGCTCTCAAATGCCCTGGCAACTCATGCCGTGTGACACCCAGCATAGCAAACGCGAGGGACATCCCCACAGGACACCTGGTTTTTGACTTCACATGGAAGTAAGCTAAAGTAGTTGATGTTCCTTTCTCAAAATCCTTGTAGTGCTATTCACTGGTCACTCACAGGGTATTTGTAAACTATTTATTGCCACTGTGCAAGTCACTGTTGTCTCAGCAGCCTGTAAAAGCAGTTGCTCTGACTTGCCTGGTCTCTCATAACCTCCTCCACGTATTTTCCTTGCTTTTCATTTTCTCCATTACCATCAGATTTATTTGCCCATAATGGCAGCTGTGAAGGTACCAAGTCCTGTCACAGCCTTGAAAGCACCAACAAGCTCCAATTAGCACAACCAACCTGTAACGGCCTTTCTCTGTAACCTTACCCTGCAGCCGCTTCCCCCCGCTCCTCCTGGGGGCTTGGCCACCAGTGCTGGAGGCCAGCTCCGACGTGGGGCGGCTGGGTGATGCTGAGCCGGCCACTGGGGAGAAAGCGGTGTGAGGAAGGGCTGCCAGAATCCTCAGCTGGGGGCCTGCACACATCAATCTGGGAGCTGCACTGGGGCCCTCAGCCTTGGTCCTTGCCTGAGTTGTGCTGCATGTGTGCTGTGCACAACCATGCCAACCATGGCCAACCGTCGCCAGTCCTCCCCACGGCCTGGGCTTGGCGTCGGCGCTTCCAGCAGCAGCAGTATGGGGTTTTCCAGGCCAGGTTTTAATGTCTTGGATTCAGCTGGCCAGTACATGCATCGAGCTGTCAACTGAGATTATTGTCTTGTTCAAAAAGGATATAAACTGGCAGCATATTTAACAGGGACAGTACTCAGTGTGTCACCCATACTTCTAATGAATAAATTTTTACCCAACTGCCTCTAAACCTGGAATTTAACAGGAAAAGCTCAGAATGAGCTTCCCCTGGCTCATCTGTTAATAGCAATTACTCCTGACTGGACACAGGGTAGACTTCACTGCAATTTCATGGGAAGGTTGGTATATACATGACATTAAAATGGCTTTGTATGTAACATACCTGATTGCAAAGGGAACAGAACCTTTGTTGAACTTCCGTGAAGGGCTACCTACCTGGGAAAGCCCATCCCATAGACAGCATCCCTGGGGTGGGTTTCTTGTCCAGTTGCATTAGTGATCTTGCTAGTGTCAAGAGCGAGAGACTTGGGAGACAAGCCATCAAGCTTAGCTGGTTAAGATAAAGGCAATATGGTCACGGCATGAACATCATCTCCATTCCAGCAGGTGTGAATCGCTCCTCAGGCATCAGGATTTCTTGTTCTAAAAAGCCTACCTAGCAAGCTACCCATAATACATACATATACACAATTTTCGTATGCAATATGGATTAACTCCACCACAGAATACAGAAAAGTCATGTCTCAGCATCCCTGTAAAAGCCTTTTATGGAATATTAAATTCAAGCTGCTGAAATGTTGCAAGGGGATTGCTAGAGGCTATCGTTCACAGACAGTGTTTCTAAGAGCCCATGCTCTTTTTTTCTGCCACAGCTGGCACCTACTTTTTTCTGCATCAATAACATTTTCACAAACAGACCAAAAATACAAATATTTAAAAAATAAAGGTAGCAAGATCACATATGAGCAGAGCATATTCTCTGTGTTCAGTGGAACAAACAGCATATGTAAACATCTTCTGACACTCGCTCCTGGAAGGAGTTGTCTTCACAGGGGTACCTGCATACCAGATGATATAAGGCAGCCAGTGTTGAATTGGTGGCTTTGTGCCACTGTTCAGAATTAGGTATTAAATAATAATTGCATTCAGTACAGTTACCAGTAAGCATGTTTTTAACTGGTTAGAAATATGGGCTGTCATCCACATCACTTGCTAACTGAACTACAGATCATTATAAAGAGTTACTGTATTTAATCTGGAAAGGGTCTCTGTTTTAATTCCTTTATACCGGCATGGATGTGAGAACACAACTGCATTGAACCTGCTTCCGTAAAAAGTGCAGCCTGTCACGTGTTGGTGACACTGGTGTAACTCACTCTGCTCCAGCAGTCAGCTTGGGCCATGCTTTTCACTCCACCCCGCATTGCACGAGGCAGATTTCACCAGGGCCATGTTCGCAGCACTGATTGATTGCATGTGTTCAGGCACAGATGCAGTCATGAACTGGATGGGCGAAGTGGATGCTGTAATATTTTTCATGGGCCAAACTCAGGCGTAGTGTGATTTTGTGGTTGAGACGGGAACACATTGATGCTGCACGAGCTCCAAATAATGGACGTATTCACTGTGCTGACAAGCAATTTGCCATGCTGGAGTGTTACAGTCAGTCACGCCGGCTTCCAAGAGTTACCATGCACTGTAGTTAGGACAGCTACCCTGGAAAGGCACACAGTATTTCTCTCCAAATCATGAAATAACTTTTGTCATCACCACACAAGCTTATCCAGCTATCATACATGGAATGTACTGATTTGAACACCGTTAGGGAACTTGTTTGTTCTTCATTGCTATTGTCCTTGGCTGTCGTGCCGTCCCTCTGTAAAAGGAGCAACTATGGTAGGATTACGTACACTATGCTATTTTGCCTTCCCTATCTGCTAATAAATTACAGATCCATCACGAAGTGATTTTTAAACCGAAGAAGTAGAAAGTAGATCAGTCTATCATCAAATTGATCTGAAATATTCCTGGTTTGTTATTATTTTATTTGACTAAGGCTACGGCCGCGATTACTCAGAACTGTCTACGTACACTGAATGCTTACTCAGGCAAACCGTCCTAATCCCACTAGAAATAACTCTGAGGCTTTTTTCCTGCCATAAGACTTGTCCTAGAAGCAGTCCCTGCAGCACACAAGGAGTCTTCCCATCTATGCAGGATGCCTGACTTTTGGCAGAACAACCTGAGACCCGCTGCTCCTCCCGTCGGGAATCTGGCTAGCACCTGTGAGCCTTTGCTCATTCGAGTGATTTTTGTCTCTCCATACTCATCTAGTGTCAAATAAGATAGTTTATCAGGTAATTTGATCCTAGGTAGTATCTGTAATTGTGAGTTGTTATTATTCATTCTTTTAATGGTGTGCGATTGTTTTTCCAAGGCACGTGATATCATTCTGTGTATGACTGAGCAGATGACTCTTAAAAAGCAGACTAATGAGCACTCAGCAGTCTATACTTGTTCTCGTTGTTTTCTTCTAAACGCTCATTTACTTGTG